TTTCATTAAGTTCTGCTCTGATCTTAATGATTTCTTTCCATCTGCTAACTTAAGGTTTGGAATTATCTGCACTGCCCCCCCCCATGTTTATTGCAACATTATTCACAACAGCCAAAATATAGAATCAACCTAAATGTTCATCAACTGATGATTTGATAAAGAAAATGTGGTATATATACACAGTAAATTACTACTATTCAGCCACAAAAAAAGAATGAAATTCTGTCATTCGCAGCAACATGGATGAGCACAGAGGACACTATGTTAAGTGAAATAAGCCAAGCACACAACAAATGCCCCATGATCTCAGTCATACGTGGACTCTAAAAGAAGTTGATCTTATGGAAGTAGAAATAGTGGTTACCAGGAACTGGGGAGGATAGCAAAGAAGGGGGTAAAGGTAGAGGCTTGTCAGCAGGTGCAAAGCTGCAGTTACATAGAAGGATAAGTTCTGATGTTCTATTGCACAGTAGGTTCACTAGTTAATAATACTGTATATTTCAAAATACCAAGAAGAGGATTTTGAATGTTCTCACCACAAAGAAATGATAAATGTTTAAAGTAATAGATATACTAATTACCTTGATTTGATCATTAGGCAACGTATTGAAACATCACACTGAAACAGATAAATATATACAATTATTATATGTAGATTTAAAATAAAACTTAAAAAAACAACCCTTGGGGTCATTGTTGACTTCTCTCTCTCTTGCATTGCCACATTCGCAGCAAATTCTGCTGGCTTTACCTTTAAATACGCCCAGAATCCAGCCACTTCTCACAATTTCACTACTACACGCTCTGGCCCAATAACTGTTGTTTCTTTCCTATAGTACCCAATCTCTCTGCTTCTGTTCTTGTCACTGCACAGACTGTTCTCTACACAGCAGCTAGAATGAACACTTTTTTTTTTTTTAGGATAATACGCCCAGAATCCAGCCACTTCTCACAATTTCACTACTACACGCTCTGGCCCAATAACTTGTTTCTTTCTTACAGTACCCAATCTCTCTGCTTCTGCTCTTGTCACTGCACAGACTGTTCTCTACACAGCAGCTAGAATGAACACTTTTTTTTTAGGAAGAACTTTTAATGCATATCAGACTATGTCTCTGCTGAACATAGCTCCAGTCATTTCCCATTTCACTTAGAAGAAAACCCAAAGTCCTCACCACTGCCCGTAGAGCCTCACATGACCTGCACTTCACCACCCACTCCACCTCTTCACGTCCTTCCCATGCTGTCTTTCTTTCTGTTCCTTGGACACATCAAGCTCATCCCTGCCTCAGGGACTTTGAATTTGCCTCAGGGCCTACCTCAAAGAAATCTAAAGTAGCTACTCCCTCACATGACTCTGTATGACTGAAAATGAACATATTTCTCTTTTTGACTAAAGACAGCAGTCTCTAAGGGAAGACCATGGGTCAGAGTGGATTGGACATGGGCAGAATTATTTCTCCTACTCTCTTAACTTGCTTTGGGTCTGGGCCAAGTGTTTCTACACTCCTGTTTTTATCACATAATGTTGACTTAAAGAGCTGGCAAAGCCTTCCAGATTGAAGATAAGCAGATCAACCTCAGAACCAGAAGGAAAGACAGCAATCGCTTTGGGGGATTTTCTGCATATTTTTCTTCCTTAGTAGCTCTGTCTTTGATGATCCTGAGCACAGATTCATTTTAAATCTTTGTTTCCACAGGACTTCTAGGGCCTACTTTATATGCTGAGGTTGGAGACATTATGAAGGTTCACTTTAAGAATAAGGCTGACAAGCCCTTAAGCATACATCCTCAAGGAATTAAGTACAGTAAATTCTCAGAAGGTAAGAGGTATTAAACATTCCTCTGACAAAGGAAAATGTACAACTCTTTAACACCATCAAACATTTATAACCATATTGTTAACCACATGTTGTTAGAGAAATCTTTCCTGCAACTGGTAATTATAAAAATTGTTGCTTTTGTAATTTTCAGTAAAGAATAACAAAAAGGTCCTAGAGTTCTCTAGATCTGTTTTTCACTAGGTTCTTTTTTCTCAATAGTTGGGTGGGCAAGTTACCTAATCTCTCTGAATTCCAGTATGTTCTCCTTAAAATGGAAATAATAATACATACATTGCAGGATGGTGGGTTTGCAAATTTTTCTGTAAAGAACCAGATAATAAATATTTTTGGCTTTGCAGGCCATAGGATCTCTGTTGCAACTACCCAACTCTACCTTTTAGCACAAAAGCAGCCATGGACAATGTGTAAATAAGTGAGCATAGTTGTGTCCCAATAAAACTTTTTTTTAACAAAAATAGGCATCTGCTAGATTTGGCCTATGAACCACTGACATAGTGACACAGGAACAACCTGACATTAGGGCTATCCTGACACATAGATGACACTCAATACGTGGTATTTGGTGGTGGTGGTGGTACTGGAATTAGTATTAGGATTTTGGAAATAGTAAAGTGGTTAAGAACATAAGTTTTGAAAGCCAACTTAGTTTCAAATTCTTGCTTTACCATGTCTCTTTCTATGACCTTAGCATTTCTGGGCCTCAGTTTTTCCATCGATAAAATGCGAATGGTTATACCTACCCCGTAATATTATTGCTTGAGGATTAAATGAGCTCATATAGGTAGTGTACTACACATGGTTCCTAGGACCTGATAAGCCCTCAGTAAATAATGATGATGTTGATAATAATGATGTCAATGACAGCAGTGATCATGAAGATGATGGTGATAAAAGTGATCTAATCAGCCACAAGATAGTAAGTATCTGCTTTTTATTTGTTTGCCTTATTATTATTTTTTATTGAAACATGATTGTGCATATCTGTGTGGTACAGCATTGAGTACCTGATGTTAATATTGTTCTAATTCCCATTATACTGATGTTCAGATCACAGTAAGCAGAGTAGAGTTCAGTCAGAAACTGGTACCAAAATTGTCTTCATATCATAATAATTGTTGGTATAATAACATTTTGAAATAACTTCAGACTTTTCACAGTTCACAAATCTCCTTTCTTCTCCCGCGTGTTCCAGCTATCACACCTTTGAAGAGAGAAACTGAGTAGGAGAGTGTTTACAGTGCAGGTTCTGGAACTAAATTGCCAGATGCAAATCCTGGCTCAGATACTTCCTAGCTGTGCGACTTTTGCAAAGTTATTTCACCTCTCTGTATCTCATCTTTCTCATCTGTAAAATGAGGACAACAATTATACTTATCTCATACAGGTTTGTTGTCAAGAAATCTTAGAACGATGCCTAGCATGTAATAAGCACCCAATAAATACTAGCTAGGATAGTAAAGACGTTTCTTCAGTCAAAATGTGTTCAAATAATTTATCTGGCAACTTGTGAGTTAACAAGTGATTTTTGCTTTATTAATTTCCTCTGTATATTGTTGTCAAACTCATTCTCTCTCAGGTATAAGTGACTGATAATAGGTCGATGAACTACCTCACCGGGACTATTTGCATTAGCACTTAATCCTTGGCTTGAGGAAAAACAATGAAGCATTAACTGAAATTTTAGGCAGCTTCAAAAGCTAATTTGGCAAGACTCTGGGCAAGGCAGTATGCTCAGGAGTGTCTTCTATGTTCCTAAAATCACCCAGTGACATAATGAACTATCATTTAACCTACTTATGAGGCTTCCAAATGACTACATCAGGAGTTCAGCAACATAGAACAGGAGAGGAGAAACCTCAAAGTAAAAATGTAACATGCAGGCTCCATTTCAAACACGGGAAAGGGTAAGAGTTGTGGACTTTGTACCCCAGCTGGGCTGTTTACCCAGTGAGAGAACCTTGCAACATTATCCCTGTTCCTTTACTCTTTATTTGTCCCTATATTCCCCCACAGCCAGCAATTATTTATGAGCGATTGCTTAAAATGCTCCCACAGCTTTCATTGGTGACCTGATTAGTGATGTATAATATTGCCTCTGGTCCCATGAATCTAAGAAAGGTAAATACATACTAGTGGGGAAATTGTCTCTTGGAAATTAGATGCAAATCTAGTAAATAGATAAATAATGTTCTTCGTGGTAAGAGATAATCCTTCTGTTTATTTTATCATGCCCTCTGTGTTAAAATAAAACTTCCCCTTCTCCATTCACCCTCACCCATAGCCTCCCTCTATGGTTTGAACTATTTTTTCAGGAGTGGCAATAAACTAACTGCATAATGAGTCAGCTAGAATCCAGATTTCTTTATCTTAGAGGTAGATATTTGAGAGTTGGATGGTGAAGGGTGGAGGTTATATAATTGGCTTGAGAAACCACAGTAGTACATAGGACAGGGATGGTTAACCCTCTTCGACAGGATGAACAAATTGTGATTTGTGAAAATGCTTACAAGGATATTTCTTTTAGATAGGTACTTAATAGGAACATATTTTTAGATCAGGAAATAAAATATCTGCAACTGTACCTAATCATTTTAAAACTTTCTATCATTCAAAGGGTTTTAATTTGAGGTTAAAATTTCAGAAACTCTGTAACTAGCATGCCCTGAACTGTTTGATTTTAATGCTGCACCTTTGAGCATATTTTGTTGTTCAGTAAGATTTTCAAAGCTGTTTTGGTCGATTACCTTTAAAAAGTTTGTTTCATAGAGCATCTTAATATTATTCTTTGATTTATATTCTCACATTTTAAATGTACGAGTTGCATTATGAGTATTTGACCACAAAATTAGTTCTGTAATATTTAGCCATCTGCTGGTGAGCCAACTCTCCAAACAAAAAAAATAAATTTTCTACCAGAGATTGTTTCTTGTGTCTAAGTGTTGCCACATTCTCTCTATTAAAAGTCTTCTAGATTTTCCAAAATATTCCAATGCTTGACATAATGTAGGTGATAACATTTTTGACTTTTCATCTGAATATTTTGGCTTTATATAGATTCTTCTTTGAGTATATAATAAATACCCAAAACAAACTGTAATGGCTGATATAACAATTCTCATAAACCACAAAAATGTGAACTCCCTTTCAGAAGAGGCTGCATGCCCTGTGCAATGAAATCAGGCTCCTAACAAAACATTAGCATTTTAATTTTCCCATTGCCTAAATTATAGTTTCTGAAAGAATGTTCTGAATCTTTGGATGCATTGAAGCATTCACTAAGTTTATTAAATGGAGAGGAAAAGAGTTGTTCACAAAAATAAGTAATAAGGGAGGATTTAATGAATGAGTACCCTAATGGGAAGGCTCTTTATATAACATCACTTTCCCAAAGCTTTTATGCACCAGTTTACATTAAAAAAAAAATACTGAGAGCCTTTTGGCAAATAATTAGTACCTCATGACAAAAGTAAATAAATTACAAAACTGACTATGGACTGAGCTGGAAGTGAACTGAGAGAATATAACATGGTGAGCTACCCTTGTGCAAAAAAAGATTTATTCTAGCAAGAAGTGAAACAAGGACTTTCTGTGCCCTAGCACAATAGTTGTTTCTTTCCATTTCTCCTCTTTTAAATTTAGAGTGTTAACTTATTATTTTGATTATAAAGTCAAAATCAGATTCACCAAAGTTGCATTTCACAAATGCTTTCTTTAAATAGCTATTTATATTTCATATCTTATGTAGGTTACAAAATAAAAAATACAACATGGTTGCTTTATTCTAGACTAAAGGTGAAACAAAATAATTTGAAGTGAAAAGAATAAAAACATTGATAAAATAATCCCCCAACTATCTCATTAGTAGTTCCCATTCATTATAATTACAGAATATATCCCATGTGCAAATCTACATTGTTCATTATTTGTAACAAGATGCCCATAATTCACCTTTTAGTGGTACAGTAAATTTAATTGAACTCATTCATTTAATTATTTGAAATTTGTGTTATATTTAACTGACAGATGAATGTAAAATTCTGAATAATTTACTTTGGCAAATTAGGCAGACAACAATTTGCCTGACTATAAAGCAAATATGTATATATATATATACATATTTTACTATTTTTTTTTACTATCTATATGTATATTGAAACATCATGTTGTGTTATACAATAAAATTTTTTTAAAGGCTATATGTTAAAATAAACCTGAGTGTGAAACACTGACCTTTCACAAATAAGTTTGATATCATTAGTAAATCAGTCACACCGTATATGTAGCACAATGCTATGTCATCTTAAGTAATTCTTAGATATTTATGTTGTTTGGTTCTCATTCCAGATGAACAGTGTGTTCTAATTGTGGCCTCTGCACTGAGGGGCTGCCCTAGAAGAAATCTAGAGGTGAAATCATAACAACTAGGGAACCCACATTAACCCTACTGTTAACTAAACTAAGCCCCCAGGGGCTCAGGCTTTGTCATTTAACACAGAACCTGGAACATAGTGGGTGATGATAATGGTGATGATTACTGAACTCAACTGAGGGACTGAGGACTGGATTAGAAAGTAGGGACTACATGTTATTTTCCCCTTGCTTTGACATGTATTGATTTTGCTGGTGAATGTGAGAAGTTACCTTGTCTTACCTGTTCTTATCACCTATAGAAGAGATACATCACTGCAATGGACTGGATATTTGTGTTCTCCCAAAATTCATACGTTGAAACTCAACCCCCAATGTGATGGTATTAGGAGGTGAAGCCTTTGGGAGATGTTTAGGTCATGAGGGTGGAGCCTTCATGATGGGATTAGAGCCCTTATTAAAAGGGACCCCAGAGAGATTTTTCACCCTCTTTCTGCCATGAGAGGATACAAGGAGAAGACAGCAGCCTCAACCAGGAAGAGGGTCCTCATCAGAACCCAACCATGCTAGCATCCTGATCTCAGACTTCCAATCTCCAGAACCACGAGAAA